AAAAAAAATACTAGTGTATTTTTTTTTCAATTTAATAAATTTTATTATTTATATTTGCTGACACTAAGTCACTGTGAAAAGGCTGAGATTTTTTTCTGATTTTTGATATATCGTGGTTTCATTCCTAAATAAGCTTCCTTATACACTGGTGTGCAAAAATTAAGGACGAGACGGTTTTTTCAATATAACTTTGTACAAAAGCTTTCCAAATCAACACATTTAATACCGTAAGATGCCCAATACGTAAGCACATGAGTAATGTAAGCAACACTTACTAAAAGAGAAATCAGAGGGATAAAAAGAAGCTTTATTGAAAAAGTAGCATGGAGCGCAATGCGACTGAAGGCCGAAACATCCCTGTGATGGGTGTCCAGCAAGAAACACCCGTTCTTTAATAGGGGGTATGATCTCCCCTGACTGCTAGGCAGGTTTCACAGCGTCTGCCCATGCTGAGAATGAGGGTGTCAATGAGTTGTTGAGGCATTGCTGCCCATTCGTCTTGCAGCGCCAATCGAAGCTCCGGAATCGTTACTGGTGGTAAGGTACGAGCTTCCAAGCGTCTGCCTAGAAAATCCCATACATGCTCGATGGGATTGAGATCCGGAGATCGTGCGGGCCAATCCATACGTTCAATATCCTCACTCTTTAAGAGCTGTTCGGCAGCTACTGTGCGATGACATGGTGCATTGTCGTCCATGAAAAGGAACTGCGGACCCATAGTGCCTCTAAAAAGACGCACATATGGAAGAAGTTTCTCGTTACAATAACGGGTCCCGTTGACTGAACCTGCGTCGAAGATGTGAAGGTCTGTACGACTACCAAGCATGATGCCTCCCCAAACGAGAACACCGCCACCTCCATACCTGTCCCTTTCAATGATGTTTGAGTGATGATTGCGGCTTCCCCGCTCTCTCCAGATGAGTATGCGATGAGAATCGTTACTAAGACTGAATCTGCTCTCATCTGTAAAGAGTACTCGTCTCCATTCATTGTCTCTCCAATTCCGGTGTTCCCAGCACCACAGAGAAAGCCTTCTCCGATGGGCAGGCGTTAGAGGTACACACCGTAGAGGGCGTCGTGCAAACAGACCACCACCGTGCAGTCTTCTGGCCACGGTAAAACGCGATATCGGTCGTCCAGTCGCCTGTGTCGTGTGTCTAGCGATTTCTCCCGCTGTCTGCCGCCTGTTTCTTCTGGCCTGTAAGGCAATATACCGGTCAACTGCGGGTGTGGTTCCTGGTGGACGACCACTACTAAACCCCCGGATAGCTGTTCCTGTAGTTTGAAATTGTCTCCAAAGTCGTGAAACGATGCTGTGAGCAATTCCGAACTCTGCAGCCACACTTGTCACACTGCGGCTTTCCTCCAACTTCCCAATGACTCGACCTTGGGTAAAAGCATCCAGATGTCGTCTAACAGATTGATTATTCGCCATCTCTCGCTGAGGCAGTAACTTGGTGTGATTTTAACTGCTATACGGCGTGCAATCTCTTTGCCAGAAATACTGATCTTACACCGACAACATGTTTATACTACTCAGGCACTCCCCCATTACGTCTACCTGCATATCTGCGCATGTGCTACCGTACATCACCTTACTTAATCTATTGATTGCTCTTTCTGTCCGCTCTGCTTCTTCGTTCATCTGATATGCTACGACTTCGTCCTTAATTTTTGCAAACCAGTGTACATCCTGCAGTAACGAAATAAATTGCTTAGCGATTTTAAATTGCATATGTTACGTTCTAAGTGTGAACACTCTAGAAGTAGTAACCACGCACTGAGTCAACGAAAAGCAATGTACTGAAAATGCAATCAAGTTATATGTATATATTTGAAGCATCTATTTCATTAGAATTTAACATAACAGCTGAATACATCTCAGTAACTCTGAAAATGAAAATATAAAGGCATATAGCAAGGTTAAAGTAGTTGCGAGGTGAAAAATACTCTAATAAAACAAAACTTTAAACAGTACTAAATTAGCGAAATACTGTAGCTTGGCGTGAGAGTCTAATAATAATATTATGCATATATTACGAGATTAAATAAATGACCTCTGCGGCGAAACCTAATTAGGAAAGTGAACATTATAATGTAACTAATTGCAATCCAGCAGTTATCATTTATAACAGGGCTGTCAAACTTGCGGCCCTGAAGCTGTTTTATACGAACAGATTTCATTCAGGGTGTTGCAAAGAGTTCAAGATTTTTGTTTGAAGTTCAAGTTTACATTATTTTCATCGAAATGTAACATGATTAATGCGCTAGAAAGTCTATTAGTTGACGCAATTCATTCACAATAGGATATAAATCTTATTCAAAGACTTAAATGTACAAATTTTATTCATACTTATTAAAAAGTAAACAAGCTCAGTTGCGAATTTTTTCGCTATGAATAATCGTTATGTTTGGGAATAAATTTACATGCGAACAGCTTTTTTTCACAGCTAAAAATTAATAAGAAAAGAACACGATTGATCGAAGAACATCCATAATTCATGATGAAGATAATTTCCAGTCATTTCTCTCCAAGCCTACAAAATTTATCGGAATCGTAACGCTATTAAGTGTCAAGCTGTTGCAAGAGATGAAGCATTTTATAATTGTTACAAAATGTTTATGTTTATGTTGTTACAAATGCCCAGCTGCGGTAAGATAGCTTCCCCGCAAAGCGGGTTTAAGGTTGCCAGATTTCGTACGAAATCTTCCATTTGGTGACAAAAATTGGCGATATGCCATAGACGGAGCGAGACTATTTTATAACGAATTCTCAGCAGTTTTCCCCAGAATGTTTGCGGAGGCAGGTTATGAAAACCCTGCCTGTATCCGAAGTAGCAGTTTATCGTTAAGGGTATCATAAGTATGTTGAGTTCAGTAGCTGTGTCTTGAGTTCAGTAAAAAGTAATGCAACGCGGAAGACAAGAAATCTTATCTCGAATATCACATCTAGTAACGCGGGCTTCAGATGATAGAACACGCTCTGCCATCTGAAGTTTAACTATCTCAAACTCTGACCTATATACACGGGAGCTAGTTTGTATTTTAGTGGTGAATCGTGAAGAGAGAAGTGACAGTAAGAATTACAAACATAACTGCTTAAGCAAATTAAAAGAAACTCACAACTCATTATGACTTAAATCCCAGTTTTACTCTAGTGTTCCTTCGGAATTTTAGAACTTAAAAAGTTCTCCGCGATTAGGAAATTTTGAGAAACACTGCTGTAAATGACGACTCAAAAACATCCAAGTGATTGAAAACTAAGCATTTATTTTTAAGTACACCAGACAAGAGATTGAAATTGGCAAACTGTTATAATTAATATTAATACGCAGCAAAATAAATAGCTGTACATAACTAAAGTAGGACGCAGGAAATGGATAAATATTCTTTAGCACTCAACAAATATCATAAAGTACCCATATCACACACAAAGTAAACATTTAGCCGAAATTTAGATTGAATAAGCTCAGCTGACTAACAACTAATTCATGTCTTGTTATCACAGCACTATATTTATGGCAGTGTAAAGCCTTATGGAACAGTTAGAAAAAAGTAGCTACTTAAGCTTAAAAAATGTGTCTTCTCGAAACTTCCAGAGAGTCGCCTTGTTGGCAAAACATTTCGCCAACTTGGCAACTGTACAGGCGGCTCAGAAACATTTCTACCATATTTAATGTTTCACTTGAGCTGTTTTTGCTGTTTTAAGGTGCAGGGTTCTGAATCACAAGTCAACAGATCTAGTGTTCTAAAAAATTATAAAAATACATAAAAACAACAGTGCAATCCAATGCTTTCAGTTATTTAGAGAAATTTATAACAATATATTTATATCAATATGAAACCTGAAGTTTTGTTTCCTTTTTATGTTACGTATTTCGAAATAAATCCGATAAATTTTAATTGAAAATCTTTCTGATGTTTTTACTGGAAATTCGAGCGTCCCTGTGCCTTTGTTGATAAATACAAAAATAATGATAATAATAATAAATATGTGAGGTTTCTCTATTTATTTTTAACTGATAGTTTATTTTAAGTTTGACTTTCCTATTACTCTCTTTTCACCCCCACTTTTCATTCCAGGATGTAAATGAGACAGCGAAAGATTATTCATATTAAGTTAGAAAGATGTGCTCTTTAAGCAAGAGTTTTAAAAGTTAGTTTTAGAGCGTGTCTGCCTCTTCCAGGCTATGTTCTGCTGTGATTATTAGTCGCTTGCGTTAGCCATTAAGCTTTGTCTGGCCGGATTTCTACAAACCAGAGCGGTTCCTTCACGTTAAAGTACCCTGTGAATCGTTAGGCTAATCTACTACACTTTGAAATTATTAGTTGTTATGTTATTCTGTTAAGTCAGAAATGCTTGGCTTCTTGTAACCCAAGTTGTGTCATTTGTCATTTTTATGTTTCAATAAAAGGGTCTTATACACACTTCTGCCGAATTTTGTTTTGTTTCACAAGGCTAGAAGACGATTCTTCAATAACCTTTTTTAAAGTCTAATTTGTATGTTTCCAAAGAGCAAATTTTGCAGACATACATATCCGTTTATATTAATTATCAAAAATTATTCTCGTAGATTTTTAGGCAACTACTGAGACTTCGGACCTTAGGGTCATTCATTTCATTAGTATTTATTCCATTTTTAATAAACTTCTTCTGGAGATCTTCAGCTTATCCAGTATGGAGAAGTTGTTTAAAAATATAATAATTTAATTTTGTACTGCCTGAAAGCAATGTGCGAATTTCCTGGGCCAAATGTTATTAAAGTGGTTTCTGAAAATGTTATAGAAATATGTACTACCTGAAAGAGGCTTATAAGTCTAATTTTTCTATTAAACTGGGCAATGGAAAACATAGACATCAATTTTATTTTATTTTTAACATAGTTTTAAATAAATATTTATTACATTAATTGCACCACGAACTTATGATTACCTTGTAATATTGAGCTAACAAATATATTATGTTAAAAAATGTCATTATTTTCAATATGTACTTTCAGAAAAACCTGTTATTAATCCCTTTGGATTTCCGAAGTCATTGGCTGAAGGTATGCACGTTATAGTGACATGCAGTGTACTAACAGGGGATCCTCCAATAACTATTCGTTGGCTGAAAGATGGAATGACACTAAATAGGAAGATGCTGAACATCGAAGAATCATCAATGGGACATCTCGGTTCTTCTCTCGTCTTTAATAGTGTTGGTAGAAGCCATAATGGGAATTACACGTGCTTGGCTGAAAATACAGCTGGAGAATCTAATTTCACAGCAACCATGTTAGTAAATGGTAAGGATATTTATTATACAATCTCTTGAATTTATTCAATAATAGTAATAATATATAATTCAAAACAAGAACTTATAGTACATTTAAGTGATAGATTTTTAAGAATCCTTTTAAATATTGTTACCTTAAATGTTGCAATATATTGCTATCATTCACTCTTCGTGGTCTCTTGAGTAATTCTTTTATGTTTTATCCGCCTCAGTGAAGATTATTTTATCTTCAATAGTATGAAGTTTTATCAGAAACAGTAACTATGTGCTGGCTAGACCCAACATTAACTGGCGCAGTTAGGCAAAATTAGTTTGGTATAGTTCTATTTCCTAACATAATTCCTATTCACGACTCTAGCTCCACGTCTCTTAACTGCATTTTAATGTCAAGCTTCAACAAAAATTTGGCTTGTGAAATTCGCTTATCCGTCATAGCTAACTTTTCTTGCACCATGGTAAATGAAATTTGCTCAGTGTGAAATAGATCAAATTGCAATCAATAATGTGTATTAATTCTTAAAACATGTTAAGCGAAAATAAATTAAGCCAGTTTTGATTATGTAACATGACATATGATAAATGTCAATGTAAGGTAGGAAAATCTGTTAATTAAAGTTACTGCCACGATATTTATAAGAAATATGAACATTAAACATTAAACATAACATAGATTAAATCAATTTTATTTCTTGAAAATAGGTAAATCAATATGAAAATGAACACAGCATGTTAAAATCTATTCAATATTTAAAAAGGATTGTTATTTGGAATTTTTAACTGCAAGGAGACTTTTTAAGCATGTTCAGAAAGTAACATAAATGCTTCATAAAAATAATTTTATCAATAATTCTAAAATCATGTGAAATTTTACTGCAGTTGTTCCTTTTGGTTGTTAAATGAAAAACTCTTTAGTAACAATTAACATATCCGATAATTATTTAAGAATTTTAAGAGCATTATAATAACGCTGAAAACTTTTTGCATCATGGTTAATGAGATATGTTTTGAAATGCACAGTTATGTATGATACGTCTTACGTGGATGGAACATTTGACGTGTTTTAGAGCTGACAACAGACTTAAAGATGATAAAGTGTTTCAGTTGTACATTACGAATCGATATTAATGATGTTCAAACAACCGCCTTACACTGTCTATCTGCATTTTTCGATTCCATTGCTTACAGTGACAAATTATAGAGCTTCAGAAAATTCTCCAAGGTATACGGGAATATTTGAATTCGGGGACATTTGAAATAATTTGCGTTATAGAAAATAGCAGTTGCATATAGTAAATGTGAAAGCTGAATCCCATGATCTCATAAATCGTACATATATCGATGGAAAACGAACTTCCAGTGCTAAAACGAAGCCCAATAAGATGAATAAACTTCAACTAGTATATCGTTTGCATGACTGAGTTCATATTACTTATAATGTTGCAACTCATATCACGCCTAGTCATTACCATGTTGTTAAATTTGAATTTCCTTTACAACAGTAACCATTGTAACTTCCCAAACATTGAAAACTGTTGTGTAAATATACATGTATCCTATCGAGTATATAACTTTACACTGCGGAATTATGAGCTTTTTGTATTTAGTAAATTAAATCTGTAACAGCCGTTGTTGGCTGTGGATGAATTCGCAAGTGATGTTCGATAATTCTCACATATGCTCCATGGGTAAGGGATTTGGGGATCGGGTTTGCCATATGGTAACAAAGTAACATTTTCGCCAGATTGTTAGACTAGAGCTGCTGTTTGCGAATGACGAATATCTTGGTGGTATAAGCACTCTTTCATACCATTCATGAATTCTATCTCTGTGGGCGAAGTTCAAAATATGTAGTAAATGTTTGCTGTCATGTTGTTTGGGATAATAATGAGGTGTTCCTGCTATCATAAAAAAAAAAATCTCTTATCATCCATGTCACGTGGGTAGCCACCTAGACGGTATAGTGGTTAGGGAAGCCAACTGAGATACCAAAGGGCCCGGGTTCGAATCCCGAAGAATGCATGGTTGTAATTGTCTGTCCCTTCATAGGAGGCAAAGGTGGCCCACCTATGAGGTACCTCCATAGTAAATTGACCACCACTTCTGGGCTTAGTAGTGTCAAGCCGACGTCGGCTGAGGGCCCAGCATTGGCAAAAAAATAATGACACGTAGGTATGAAGATGATGTATTGATGACGGATACCACCCGGCTTCCTCCTGATGGGTGTACGTCTGTCACCGGCATTCGCCTAGAAATGACTTTGAACATCAAGCCTGACTCGTTATCATTCCGGTAATCATGCCACTGAATGCCCGTAGGAAAATGCGGTAAATAACTTAACACTATTCGTTTTAAAAAGCTAGGCCTCAGAGAAAAAGTGATCACTATCGCAGACCTCATGGTTTTGCAACACATCTTGCGAAAACGGTTTACCGATTGTCATTAGCTGTCCAAAACCCAAGCTCCTTGCATCAGTGTCTTCTATTGATCACTGCTGTCAAAAATTATGCATTACTGAAACATTTCATCCCATTCCTTCTTTAGATTCATGAAGAATAAATCTACATTCTATAAGACGTGTAAAACGACCTTGTCCAAACTGAATTAGATTATTAATGTCTCTACCGCCTTGGAGGCAATTTTCATTCTCAGGAAATGCAAATCACTGACTCAGTAGAAAAGCAATGCTTTTAAAATATTCCACACGTATTTACAGGAAGTTTGATTTACATATTTAGCGAAACAGTACTTGCACCATCCGTGTGTTGCGAATTTATAATTTGCTCAGATCTCGTCTTTTCTGTATTGTACGAATACGCCACCTAAACTTCGTTCATCTAAATTTTAATTCTTCATAGTTTTTAGGACTTTTATTCCCCTCAAAGCATTATTTCCGTATTCAGAATCCTTTTCACTTTACCTAAGCAGCGAAACAATGCAAAAGTAATGGGGTTAAACAGAATTTATTTGTTGTTGAGGGATTAATCAATTAATTAAATGGTATGCATAATAACAAGTTTAACCACGTTATGCAGTATAAAATATTTAATTTAATGTCCCCACTGAACCTGGTAAACTGCCAGTTATCCGCACTGCTCTCATTTGATACGGCATAAGATTTTTAAGGGGGCTCATACACCTTAAGCCCCTTATGATCTTCCAATATGTGACTGTTGGAAGAATTGGAATATTTTATTTATTTTAAAAGCAATTACTTCCGACTCTTTACAGCTGACTGCATAATATAGCTGCTTTGGGAACTAGTAACCAGAAAGTTTGTGTTGCCACAAATATTTTTGTAATTTAATCAGCTTTGTGACAAAATGTTTCCTCATATTTCCACATGGCGCGCATGATATTTACAAAATGGCTCAAGGTGCGCACTTGAAATTTGATGGAATTCTTTATATGGGCACTATCTTCTAACTGAACCAAATTTATGATGATTATTTTAATATTAAAACATTTTATGCACGAAAACATTACAGATTTTTTAATAAAATACATTTTATAAACTCATTTTCAAATAAAATAAAAATTTAACATGAAATTCTTATAATTTTTGGTTCACAGTAGTTTTCAAATGTTATAAAAGCTACATATTAAATACAGAATCAAATTATGCAACAGAATGTTTTAAACTGGGCACGCAAGGTGGAACATGACGAAAACGTTTGTCACAAAGCGGATTAAATTATAAAGATATTTGTGGCAACACAAACGTTCTGATTACTATTTCAGAAAGCAGCTAATTTATGTAGTCAGCTGTAAAAAGTTGGAAGTAATTACTTTTAAAATAAATAAACTATTCCAATTCTTGCAACAGTCACATATTCGAAGATCTTATGGGTTTTAAGGTGTATGAGTCCCTTAATTTATTTTTGCAATCAAAACACTGCATCGTGTAACTAATTAAATGATTTAAAAACAAAGCTGCACATAATAACTTACACTTTAATTTTAATGGAAGAAATTTATAGCTTAGCTAATATAATTAATTATTCACAAAATTCATATAATATGTTGATACCTGAAAAACATTTTCGGAAATGTGGATTTTATCTACATTATCAAGGAACTGAAAAAGTGCTTAATTTAAATTTCCAGTGAAAGCACCTACCCCGTAGGTGCAGTAGACGCTTGCTAAATTTGCACTGGTTAGGAAGTCACTTGACAGGAATGGAATAGCAGCAGCTTTCGATCAGGGAGCCCATGGTGAACCAAAATTACTTGTTTTGGAACTAAGATGAAATCCCTATGCCTGCCGATTTGTCTACTACTCTGTCTTGATGCAAAGTATACGTGGCAGTTCTCCGGATCATTTTCCAACGCAGTGGGGTCGACGAAGTTTTTTTTTTTTTTTTTTAAGTCCAAAGGGATTTGTGTCCCGAAGGACTATTACTTTCGTTTTGGCATTTTTTGCGTCGGACTCCTATAAATGTCGGTTCACTTTTCAAACTGTTGCTGCAAAATGTTAGTGTCCTGCATTATATTTGAAGAAATTAAATAATGAAAAATTTGCATAAATGTATGTCTATTTCTCGCATTGTGATAAAACAACGGTATCTAGAGCCATCCAATTTTTAATGACGTAATCCTTCTGCAAATATGGACATCTGAAATCCCAAATTTGAAATCTGGAATTTGTTTTATATCGATTTCATATTTTTGTAAAATTTAAAAAAAAATTTGAGTAACAAACTCAAGTATTTAAACTCGAGCAATGGCAACACTCTACGGGGGGGGGGAACCTTTTTATCTCCAGCGCGTCGAACTGTGTATCGGAAATTCTAAAGATAGGCTCATTTTAAAATTATTTTGCGACATTGCTATTGAAGTTAATTTTATGGTTTAAGTGCAAAAACGTGATATTTAATAAATAAAGGTTGTAGTAAAGCCCATAGCAAAGGGATCTCCAGATTCTAAGTGGAATCACCTAACTGAAAATGAGTTTTATATGTGGTATGGTACCCTCTCGTAGACAGATAGGTTGCTGAGCGTGATGGCATACTG